GTTTCCTTATAAAATGTCAAAAAGAATGCAGGCATAGATAGATACTGTATATTCTCTGAAATGTGTTTTATCTTGTAGAATAAAAAATAAAAAGTGACTTTTTAGGGTCTGATGAAGGAAACTTTAACTTTTTATTGTTTTTCTTATTGTCAGTTATCATATTCATTGTTTTATTTTTCATGGCTTATCATTTATGATACGATCGGAGTTGTAAAAAGAAAAAAATAGAGCAATCAAAGGAATAAAACGGTTGGTATTAGGGAACTAGAGCAAGAGGAAAACATTATTCTAAACAACATTACAATTCATTATAACTGTTGTTGCTTTTTGGTTGGGTTCTTTTGCTATTCGATCTATATTACTCTTATTAATCCATATTCTTTATTTTAACAATTTTATGCACGTTTTTCATTATTTATTCAAGAAACCAAAACAAGGATCGATTGAACGGCTTGATTAATTGAGAATTGACTTCTTTGTATTTATTTTTAGAAAATCATCTTCAACTTCTGCTACAAGTAAAAGAACCTCTCAACAATGATGCAAGTAAATTATATCTTCTCTTTAAACAGGCAAGGCATATTGTTGTTTTTAATGAATATGTGATTTTAGTATATAAATCAAACTCCGACAACAATACGGTCAAACCCTTGTTTCAACGAATTTTATTTTGACTCCTTTTTTTATTAATTAATATAATTATTATCACTCATCAAAGAACTTGTCCATTTATCAATGGAAAAATTTCGTGATCGATATCATGGGATTGGGTCACTGCACCCCGAACCACTAGCTTTTATGAGAGGATCTTTTGTTTAATAAATGATAGAAAATATAAGAAAGGGGGCATAAAATACGTGTTTAAGAATAGAAGGAGGAGGGCTCTCAAAGTTTGCACGTCACACATATTGATTAGAGAAAGGGTTAGCCTTTATATCATCTCTTAATCACTTTATGGACCTTTCTTAAAATAATCTTGCATCATCGATCCAGTTATAATCTTACAGTATTGGTATTAGTATGTTCTGTGATATGGTCTTTATATGACACTGTTCTCTATTAATATTAAAGGCTTATAAATAACCAGTAGATTTTTATGCAAACTTTATCTGGAAGAATTTACGGGCTCCGTCAATGAAGGTGCCCCAGTCTTGATATATTTCTTTTATAACATCCAGAAATAGGGCTCCCAGCCTTCTTTTCTGTATAATTTACTTGAGGAGATTTATTAAAAGTTCATCAATAACTAGTAGAAGGGTTTTCTTTTCTTTTACTATTACTTTAAACCAAACAACGAAACCAAACCTCATAAAAGTTTTCTAA